ATATATATATATAACAAATATATAATATATATATATAACAAATATATAATATATATATATATATATGAAAAAATAGATATATAATAAAAACAAACTACTACTTCCTACTATTCCTACTTCGTGGTTTTTCACTTATTGCGGGGCTTCAGGGTACAGATCCCCTGTGATAAACAAGGGATGACGATATACTCATATCTTCATTCTTAATTTACAGACAGTCTGTAAATTCTCTAAGCATCTACGCAAAATATTATTCTGAATAAGAATAATGAGGGCCGCGCTTTTTATAGTTGCAGCTTCGTGCACTCCGTCCATCTTTCGGACGACTGTACGTACATATTCTCGTTGTATCTTGGTGCAATGACGATACAGTTTATTCTGATTCTGATTAATCCTGGTACAAGTATTGAGAGAAACAACATGGAAGCTTTTGTAAAGGATGCTGTTTTGTTGCAGGGTGATCCATTCTTGAAGGTCTAATTAAAACATTTGAGTCAGAGCTGCTGCCTCTCAGAGGGAAGGACAGTTCAAACACAAAGACCTCCAATACACAAGTATTACTAGGTTATATAAATTTGTTCCCATAATGTTACACACTCTGAATTAATCAGCAGGACTGAACATTCAGCTGCACAGGTCGGATCAGTCAGACTTTTTAAATTTAATTAGGTCAAGAGCATCCATTAACAGAGTTAGACTAATCATGGACGCAGCTCGAAATGAAAAGGACGGGTCCAGAAATTGTTTTGATTGTTGATGAGGAAATGTTATAAATTACAACTTTCACACGGTGTGTTTGTGTTTCTAGAGGAACGAGAACTCAGATTTGGAAAGTCAGAAGAGATGAGAACAAATGATGGTGGGAGAGAGAAATCTGAAGGAACTGGATCACAGAACTGAGCAGAAACACAACGAGAGAAAAATCAAAGAGAAAAAGGTGACGGGTGGAGAGGAACAGGAAGAGGGTGAAATGAGAGTAGAGCTGGGGGTCAGGAGAGGTGACCTGGTTACCTGATCATGTGATAGCTGACAGAAGAGGCCAGAATGCAGCAGAGGACAGGAGCATGCACGTCAGGCAGAGGACGGAGACAAAAAGGGACAAAAGAAGGTGGGAGAAAAGAGAAGTCAGTTCAGAAGAAAAGCAAAGCCGAGCTAAACACACGTGTACCAGACAGTTACACGGACAATAAATAAATAAAAAGAAGCCGTCCATCCCAGAGACGTCAAGAGGACAGGAGGACGGGCCGTCCGTCTCTGGAGTCATCGCCAAAACAAACAAAACCAGTCTTCAAGAGAGAAACACAAAGAGAATCTCCTGGTTTGTGACAAAGAGAGAAAACTGCAGAAATACATTTAAACCAAATGTTCAAACATTTTCACTCTTTTTAAACTAAAAAACCAAACAAACAATAAGTTTCACTGATAAGGTCCAGCCTGAGGCGTTCACTGACAACACATCTGACATGCTGGATTATATTTAGTAGAAGTGTGCACGTTCCTGGAGAGTAGAAGTGTTTCACACTTACTTCTGTAATATGAATATTCCTATGACTGCAGCGAAGGAGACGACGTCTGCAGACACCCACATCAGACAGTATTCATTGGGCCTCTGAAATAACATGATCACCACCAGATGAGACGAACACCAACATCATCAGATCCGTCCAAAAATCTGAATATTGAACGTTTGTAGTTTTGGAGGGGAGTGTTTGTTTTTCTGGACTGGAATTAAACAGGGATGTAATAAACTTTAATGTTTGTGGTGCGAGATATGCAAGTAGGTTACCCTGTGGAGAAGAACACAGGGAGGTTTAATTTTGATTTTTGTTGCTTGTAAGAGAGGAGGAAGCAATTTTATCAACCACCAGGTGCAATGGAGGAGCCAGGGGGTGGCCATTGGTGGCCTTGGCCCCTATAAATTAATGTTTGGTCACCCAATCATTTGAGGAAACTATACTTTTAAGCAATATAAAAACCAGAAAGCCCAGTTTCCTCTTGATTGTGGTGGCTGGTTTATAAATGTATATGGTGGTGGCCATCTTGGATTTTGACCTGGCAACCTCATTTTTAAAAGGAACTTTTCTTACGTCTAGATGCAACCACACACTACAATGGAAGTCTGTACCTCACTTATTTTTCAAGTAATTCAAATCCCTCAGTGACAGGGACATTGGTGTACCTCTTGTTACAAGTTGATATCTGGGCTTTACTTTGAAATGCTCAGATATATTTTTATTTATTTAGGTAGTTTTTATCTCTACACGTGTCCTGTGCTGTCAAAATGAGTCAGGATGAGCTCAGGCTGCAGTGAAAAGCAAGTGGAAATATTGATTTTAGCTGTAATTTTCATTCATTCAACCTTTGAGATTGAGATTTGTATTTAAATAAATTGAGATTTGTATTTAAATAAAGACACCATCTAATGATCCCATTAACTTAAATAGCACCTACTTGTTTTTGTATACTTTAAATCTTTGTTTTCTAACAGGCACATCTGCAGAAATAACCCATTGTCTTATAACACTCACATTTTCCTTTAAACAAATATATATATTTTTTTCTGTCTGCTATCATAGAGCCAGGCAATCCCTTCATATAATGTTGGATGTCATTGTGAAGCTTGAGTATGGTTTTTTTTAATACAAGGCCTGAATTCCCCTAAAAATCATGATAGATGAATAAAAATCGAGTTTTCTAAGCAGCACTCATGTAAAGAAAAGTAGTGCGTTAATAAATTGCCACATTTCAACAAACTGTTTCATTTTGAAGATTTTTGAGATGAAGAATTAGAAAATATGAATTCAACATTGAATAAGTCCTCATGCCGACTCAGTCTCCCAGCATGTGCCACATATGGAACGACGCGTGTTAATCTAATGTTTACCGGACATCGCGGAGTGTGTTCACTTCACTGAGGGCGACGCCCAGCCCAGAGTTATTCTCTGTTCTTCTCAGTTTCCTCTGAATTTATAAATATACGACACCGGCCCAGTCTCCCCATCTGTCCCATCATAGGAGACCTTTGACTGACAACTTGCACAACTTTGACTTCCAGTTGTACGACAGAGTTGAGATTGCCGCGACATGTGCAGCACTGTGCGTTACCTTGATCTGCACCGTGAGTTCAAATCTGTCACTTTGGAGTATTTTGACCTCATGGGGAAAAAAAAAAAATCAGCCACATGTTACTTTTGTCCGTTTTTATTTATTAATTCTTTTTGTTTAATTTAATAAACTTTTTTTATTTTTTAAACAAAGCCTAAAATTCCATCCAATTTTAATTTTTTGTTAGAGTTTGTTCAAACACTCATGTTCCTGAGGGGAACAATCATCCACATTAAAATACACTAAATATAACTTTTTATCCCATATTTATCACATCATAAAATAATGTACTCCTCTCAGTAATGTTTATCTTTTTACATTTGTTACCGTAATTTCCAGACTATAAGACGCTACTTTTTTGACAGGTTTTGAACACTGCGGCTTAAACAATGCTGTGGCTAATTTATAGATTTTTTTTATTTTATTTTTTGGGACGGGCTTAAGAGCTTCATGCCGCCAAAACATTTAGCTTCGTCACACCGAGGCGCTCACATAGCTGCCCATGTCTCTCTTGGGGGCTGGGTCCTCGTGGCTCGTTGAGACTGCCTGTATAAATATAGTTTTTAAAACAAATATGACCAATGAAATTACCAAACAGAGCTACTGTATTTTATTTTTTAACCAGCCATGTTACAGATACCGTTCTGAAAATTAAACATTTACGGTACATATTTAATTTTACAAAAAAAAATCTCTCATGTTACAAAGTAGACACCCGCAGCTTATAGACAAGTGCGGCCTATATATGTACACTTTTTTTTTTTTATTGAGTGGGCGCGGCTTATATTCAGGTGCACGCAATAGTCCAGAAATTAGGGTACTAATCTTTCGATTTTTATACCATCACTCTGTGTGGTGCTCTGCTTTTATATTTGAAAGTCTCAGCAAAACTCCATCAAGACAGAGTTCTACTCCCCCCCACAAATACATAATTACTGGCAGTAATAAAAAGGTGTTTCACATGCATGCAGGCTGCAGAACTGAATGTTCCATGGCAGACTTCGGTTAGTTTACCCCAAAGCAGGATGTCATTAGGTGCACCATGCTCCTGCAGGTCACTTGTGTATATGGGTCAGTAAAAGCAAGAACTATTTTAGAAACTTGCTTTTCTACCATGGGTAGAATTAAAAACTAAATAAATAAAAAGAAAGAACAAATGATTAGAAAAAAACTCTGACCACCGACAGACACGAGTAAGTTTGACAGAACAGAAGGCCTCATTTTCAGCTACTGGATCTGAAGGGTCTTCACAACACCCAGGACTGGAATAAATAAAATAAAAAAATGTAATAAATAAATAAAAAGTAATACATTTTAAAAACATAATTTTGGGTATACTAATGGGGGAATTTTTGTTTTGTTTGTTCCTCCCAAAACTGCTATGTCACTTTTAAAAAAAAGTAGTAAAAAACTAAAATGGAGTTGTTGTTTTTTTAACTAAAAGACGTTTGGGCTAAAATAAAATAATTTAAAAACATATTTTTTTCCATTTCAGACTGAAATAGCTCTAAAAGACTGACTAGTTTATTGTGGAGAAAAATATTAAATTGTATTTTTAAGTGGTTAAATGAGGAGGTGGATTTTTCCCCTGAGGAACACTGTCACTTCAGGGGTTAAAAAAAGCTGCTGATCCAGTAGCTCAGTGGTCAGTGCTTCAGTCCTGACCTGAAGCTGCAGGTTCAAGCCCAGGTTGTGTCAGGAACAACCTCAGGAGTAAATGAACTAACAACTCCTTCATGCCTGCTGGCCTCCTGTGGTGACCCTGCAGAAAGGAGCAGCTGAAAGGAACTAAAAGATTTACCGTTAGATCTTTTAGCAACCAGGAACATCAGCGTACTGCGTGTTTTTCAAGTCGTCATGCTCACAACATGCACAAAGAAACAAACAGAGCTAGGGAGAGTGTTTCCATTGTCCCCTCCTCGCTCGGCAGTGGGGGATAAATTAGGGTCAAATACAAAAAAAGATGTTTTGGATTTCAGAAATATGCTTGTAGGTTTTGAAGGTCTAGGTTAGGCTCACAAAGTTTAGCAGTTCTTGTGAAGTTCTTACCATGAGCCAGACTGGATAAAGCAACTTTCTGAGGATGTGTGGGGCCTCTGAGGAGACCGAAGACACCCCGCTGCACCACAGGACCGAGAACAGCCACGGCTCGTTGACCGTGTACACGGTAAGGCTGATGTTGTTTCTGGAGAATCTCCTGAAAACAGTGATTGATTATTCATTCAGCCATCGATGATGGATCTGATGAGGTGTCAGGGTTGTGACCCTACAGGATTTCACTTGGGCTGACTTGGTTGTATCTGAGCATCAGCCTACTGATGCCGGATTTCTGCAGATCCCGTGGATCCTGTTTGACCAGCGAGGTCTGGGTGAGACCAGGTGAGGTCTGCCTGACCTGAGCTCTCTGCTCGTCAGGAGTCCACATTACCTGGAAGGAGCAGAGGACATACAGGCTCGAAGTCTGCACACAGGCTGAACACACTGAACCATCTTAAAGGTAACGTTGCAGTAAAAGTTTGGGGTTTGGAGGACAGAACCAGACCATTTCCTACCAGGTGGTGAGGAACTCCAGATTGCTGCACAGCCTGCAGTGTGTCGTTGATCCAGCTGTGGTGGCAGGGGTGCAGCGGAGGAGGTCTCTTCACCCTGAAGACCACTGAGATGTTGTGGTAGGAGGCCAGCTTCAGGAGCTGCTGCAGGCTGCACACACGCTGCCTGGCAGTCAGGTTCTTCTCCTGCTGGGACAGAGAGCTCACCGTCCAGAATGGGTCCTCCTGAAACAAGCGCACACACCGGAACGTTATTTAAATCAGTGCGAAACAACAACGATGCTCTTAGTTCAGTTAAATGAATAAATCCAGGGGTTCTGCAGAACATTTGAACACCTGCATAAAATAAAAATGTACGAAGGTTTTAATGGATTTACTCAACATTTGTTCTTCCCTTAAAACTCCAAACATCTAGCAGAACATCGACTACTTTAAACATAAGTTTTGAAAGACGTTTAATTAGATTTTTTCCTAAATCTAAAGTGACTTTATTTTACAGAGCAGAACATGTTGTAGGAGATTAAAATTAAAGAGAAGAAGACAGGCTGCTTTTAGAGCGTGCATGTTCTGTGAGCACAGCCGGTGAAAACTTGTCATCATCATCGAATCTTGTCACACCGGAGGGACAGCCATGTCTTTGTTCTGTGGTTGACCTGACTGAGATCTGCAGATGTCGCATGCAATGGACTGAACGCGAAGGTCCAGGTTCTGGGTTTGGTGACCACATTCATAGGCTGGATTTCTGGCAACCCCCATCAAGTTGGTTTGGTCTTTCTGATGCCAGTTCTTGCTCAAGTCAGAGCTCATTCTTCTCTCTGTAGTCTACTTCCTTTAGTCGGTTTTCCCAGGTTTTGTGCTGGTTCGGTGCTCTATGGTTGTTCCAAACCTTTCCAGTGGTTCATTCTGTATTTTCTGGGAGTTCTGTTTATTGGTAGACTTGTGGATGTTAAAGAACTTTCTTCTGGGTTTTAAACGTACCGGGGATGGTGTAAGTTGGTGCCACATTTATCAGTTTTCTTTCGTCTGTTTTATTGATGGTCTCTCTTCATATTGCAGGTGGAGCCTGTATTAAAGCGGTCATTTCTAACAAACCCAAAACCTGGCCTGGACCGACCCTAATCTGGGTCGGGCCGGGCCAGTCTCGGGCTTGATGCGGTTTTATGAATCATACATCCCAAAGAAAACTAAATAATGCACAATATAAAATTGTGTTCATCTACTTGTTGAGGAGGACGCAGGTCGGTCTGACCGGCCCGTTTAAAGAGGTTTTAAAAAAGTCATGTTAAGCTCAGATGGACACCCGTCGCCGGCCGCACGCACCCACTGACTCGCTGGTTGAAATGGACTTGCGACCTGTCCAGGTTGTCCCCCACCTTTCATACAGTAACAGCTGGACATGTGCACCAGTGACCCCCGCTACCCAAAAAGGAAGAAGCGAGTAAAGATAATGGATGGATGGATCAATCAGCTGATCACCGGCTGCGTGCGTCTCCACACCTGCTCTCATCTGCGGTGAAGAAAGTAGCAGCATCTACAAAAGCCGAAGCGAGCAGCACGTTCAATTAAATTAGCCTTGTTCTATATTTGTCCAAATAATTTTGCTCTAAAAATATTTTTGTATATCTGTACAATAGCCTTTCTTTAGAGTTGATTTTTTTAGGCTATTTGTTTTGCATGTTAATATTTGGTGACTGGTTAATAAACATACATCTTATATCTTCCTTTCATTATGCATCTGAAATGCAGGAACTCAAATGAGAGCCTTCTGTTTGCTAACCCTAACCTTACAGTGACTCGTTAAGGTCAAACGGTCAGGTTAGTGAGGACCCTGTGGGCTCTGACACACATTCCCCCACACTCAGTCAAACCTGTGGAATAAACTTTTAATTGAGCTGGTTTTGGAGACGGACCTTAAGGAACCACTGTCCTGCGTTGAGCTGCTGCAAGTCGGTCCAGTTGAAGAACGAGGCTTCGTCCGTCCGTCTGTCTGGAAACACTTTGGCCACATCTGTGGTCCTCCGCAGGTCCAGGTCGTGCATCAGGAACGGTACGCCATCAACACTAATGATCAGAAGAGTTAGGAGACCAGAACATTTAAATCAACTTTACGAGAAGCAGAGTTTATCCTCTTTATTAACTATTTGTTTTTGAATAAAAAATATGGTAATTTATCTTTAGCTGAAGAAAACTACATTAAAACATTAAATACAAGCAGAAAATGACCAATTGCTGCTTGATTTTAATAACGAACCTCCTGTAAGTTCAGTTTAAAATGTAAAACTGAAGAAACTGGACTTCCTGTAAATGAATATTTGATATCCACATAACCAGTGCTAAAAACAGCTCCTTATTTGAATACCTGCTTTAGTGTGAGCATGAACACACACCAGAAAACTACAAACAAACAAGAAGAGGGTTAGCAGCTGGAGAAAAAAACAGCCAAACGACCGAACATCACTGGCATTTGGGGGGGGGGGGGTGTTGACACACAAAGGTTATAAAGAGCAAGGAAGGACTTGTCAGAACATAAATAAACTGTCCTGCAGGCCACATGTCAAACAAGAGCTGTAATAAACTCTAAAACTGTCTTTATAAGACACCTGGAGGTGTTCAGAAGAACAAACAATTGTGACCCTTTTGGCTTTCCATAGATCACTGCTGCAGATCACCAGGAACCTTTCCAACCTTTGCACCACGGATCATAATCTGCACGTGCACGAGTGACCATTTACAGCCAGGATTCATCTTCATCCTGGTCTCTACGGTTTCCACAGGCTTCTCTGAGCTCAGCACCTCCTGTTTACCTGCTGAGACCATAAACTGTCTCCTGACAGCTGGTTCTCTCAGTTAGTGCTCGACGCTTCATTAAAAAGCAGGTTTGGATGTTATCTTTGTTGAAAAACACCTTTATTCATTACAGTGTATCAGCATAAAGGAATGAAGCAGAAAAAACATGCTGGTCTTCAAATAAAAACATCAACACTAAATTATTTGACTGTGGGTTTTAAATCAGCTCATCGTACGCCGGCCTCTAAATAACAATTTTAAAATCTGAATGTTTATGAATCATTCTCGTCATTCACATCCGGTTTTCTTCCGTAAATTTTTCGTGACGTAACTTGTCCCTATTGAACTTGTAAAAAAAAAAAAAAAAAACGTTCAATACAAAACTTGTCCCTCAGTTTTTGTTCCGTTTCACCAATTTATGAATCAAAACATTCAGCTCATTCAGGACGTTCCTGCTGTGACTTTAGGCATTTGTGCAGTTCCTACTTTTTCAAACATTTAGCTTTTTCAGCCATGTTTTTCTCATTGAAAACAAATGCAGCTTCAGATACTTACTGCCATTTAAAACCTTTACTGCTCATTTCAGCCTTTGTTCTGGTTCAGCTTCTTTCAGCTACTTTATGCTAATTTCAGCTTTTTCTACTTTTTTTAGCTACTTTCATCTGATTTAAGCTGTTTGTGCTCTGTTAAGCTTCTTTCTTTTAATTTCAGCTTTTTTGTTTTCCTTTTAGCTTCTGCTAATTTCAGCTTTTGGGAGATATTATCGGCTTTTAAAATATAAAATAAATTAATTTAGCCTTTTTTGCTTTATTCTAATATATTTATTTTTTCTTCTTTCAACTTCTATCTGCCTATTTAAGCTTATTCTTATTTCTGCTCTATTCAGCTTTTTCTACAAATTTCAGCAAATGTCAACTGTTCAAGTTCAGCTCACATCAACAGTTTAGAGATTAATCCTTTTCAGCTGGTTTCAGCTTCTTCAGCAGCTTTTAGCTGAAATCATTCAGCAGTAAGCACTCACGCTGTGTTTCACATGAAATGATTCTCGTTATCGATGAGCTAAAACAGGAAGAGGCAAAATCTATAGAGATTAAAGAAATGTTATCTTTGTTTGGCTTCGATGCGTCGCCGTATTGATCGTTGGATTGTGTACCTGAGAGTAACGTCAGCCTGAAGTCCGGTGACGTTCATCTGCAACGCTCGCTGAAAAGACCACAGCGTGTTCTCTGGAGCGAGCTGCACACACACAGACACACACACACACAGTTTAAAGTTAAACAATGACTCATTTTAAAAAGGGCGGCTTGTTTTCAGAGTTAGAACACGTTAATATTTTATTAAGCACGTGAAACAGGCCACAGGAATGTGTGGATGAGGAAGGTCAGTGCTGTGGATTGCTCTTTAACTTGGTTCAAGGCTCGGATCAATAAAAAGCATCACTTACTAGAATAACATCTTCCTCTGAGACCCTGAGAGTCGAGCTGCTGATGGGGAAACATGGCAAAGGAATGCTGCAATGATCAATACAGAGTGATTCTGGGAAACTGAGTACCGCCAGGGTTTGTTTTATCCCTCACAGCCATTCAGAGACACTCCTAATTTTAGTTTCCACTGAAAGATCGATGCTGCTGCAGAAATACCACAGAAAACTGGGTGTGGTCCTAACTGAACTGCTTTCGTTTTCCTTCCAGTGGGTTGAATAACTCATCAGGATGTGTGGAAAAAACATAAATCATTGTCCAGCAATCAAACTGATCCACAGTTTATTAAATAAAGTAGCAAGCGTACAGCCTACAGCACATTATACACCGTTAGCAATGTACGGAACAAGCAAAGACCTTGTTTTAACTTTGACCTCGAGTTGTGACCTTGATGGACATGCACTGAACCATAATACTTCAACAGGCGCATCTAAAATGTGTTTCAGTAAACATAAAATTATATTTATAAAGAAAAATTTTAAAATATCTCTACGATAATAAAATGGTTCTTAAGTCACTAAATTAAAAGTTTTAATTCCTGATGGTTAAAAACATACATTTAAATATATCTCATGTTTTAGACCAAGGCTATTCAACTGGCAGCCCATGGGCCACTTCCAGCTCATGAGTGACTTCAGTCCGGTTCAGCAACGAGTCCATGAAAATAAAATATATACCATACTTTCCGCCCTACAAGTCGCATCAGTCCAAATATGTCTAATAAAGTGGAAAAAAACATAAATATGTCGCTTCGCCGTATACATCGCATCTATTATGCGCCACTGCAGACAACCCAGAAATGTGGGCCGGTGTTGTGCCAAAAATCGATTGGCTGCCAAATGGCAGCTGTGGGAGCGTGCATGGGAGGACTTTAACAAGAATTTAACTAGATTAACACTTAAAACAATTATTTGTTTGCTCAAAATTATAGTAAAGGTGTGTCTCAATCTACCTTTTACTTAATAAATGCACTTTGACGGTCAAATCAGCTGCATTTCAAAAGCCGATATGCGGAAGTAGGAACGCACAGAGTTGCTGTGCATTTCTTCGAAATTTAACCAGCTTAAAAACAATTATTTGTTTGCTCAACATTATAGTAATGTTTAACTTTTACTTAATAAATGCACTTCAATGGTCAAATTAGCTGAATTTCTCTGGGGCGACGCAGCGAAATGAAGCTGATTGACTTGCTCCAAGCGAGCTGGATGAAAGTGGCTGACTATGGCAAGCCGATTGTGTCATTAATAGCCACTTTTAACTATTGCATGACATGATGGCATGCCATACTACTCGAATGCCATCTAGTGGCTGAAAATGGTAGTGTTCAATATTTTCAGTCAGAATGAATGAAAACGGTCATATCTCAGCCAAAAATTGGTTTATAAATATGGGGAAAAAATCCATAAATACATTGCTTCGGCGTATAAGTCGCAGGGTGTGTAAATTATGCAAAAAACTGAAACTTATAAAACAAAAAATACAGGTTCTGGGTTTGGGTTTTGTTTATTGCATTTATGATGCAATGCAGCAAAATAAACATATTTAAAAAGGTAACAGATCATTGTAATACTTGGTTTATTTACATAATGACTAACTGCTGGATGTCCGGCCCCTGAGCTGCTGGTTTTCAGAAACTGAGTCCCCCTGAGCAGTTTCGTTGAATAACCCTGTTTTAGACCATTCCTCTCATTCCTGGGGCAGCAGGAGCTCTCTGGACTTCCTGTGCCAACTTTTTCAACCGTCTCTTAAAACCACAGAGATGCTTCGCTCGGAGAACTCAAAGTGTGTGACGGTGTAAAACAGCTGAACATTTAAGGAGATAAACATGCGTGGACTCACCATGGGGGCTCCCTGGTGGCCGAAGACCTCTGGTCGTGGTTTCAGGGTGCTGGGGTCCATGATGCAGGGGGAGGTGAGGTAGAGCGGCACCACGTAAAGTCCTAATAACACGCTGAGATAGAGCAGAACAACCACCACCTGGAACACTGGCAGAACACAAAACAACACTTTTTACCAGTCGGTGCAAGACATTTGTTCAGATTAGCTGGTATTCATTTAAAAAGGAAAAGAAGATGCAAGGATGTAACAATATTTTCACCATTTCTGCTACTCAAAAATATTAGTTTCTTATTTTTTAAATATTTTTCTGAAATCAAAGCAGTGAGAGTCTTCTGTGAGTAAATGTGTGCCTCATCTGTGACTGGAATTATCACCTAGTAATAAACAAGCGGTGCGCCGATGTCTCTGAGAGATTTGAATAATTAGTGTTTGTAGTTGTGGAGATGTGTTTTTCTTGACAGGAATTGAACAGAGCATGAAAGTAAACCTTAATGTTTTTGGTGCAAGGAATTCAAGTGGGTATGAGTTACACTGTGGAAAAGAACAGAGGGAGTTTTTTTTCTTCTTTGAGGCGGTGCAGAGTGATGGATCCTGTATGATCAAGGTCAGTGGTTTACAGTGGTGCTCTAAAGTTTGTGAACCCTTTACAATTTATAGTTCTGCACAATTATGACCCCAAACTTCAGCTTTTCACACATTCTAAAAATAGATAAAGAGAAACAAGTTAAACAATGAGAGAACAATATTATACTTGGTCATTTATTTATTGAGGAAAATGACCAATATTACATATTTATGAGTAGTAAAAGGATGTGAACCTTTGCTTTCATCATCTGGTGTGACCCCTCTTGTGCAGCAACAACTGTAACTAAACATTTCCAGTAACTGTTCATCAGTCCTGCTCACCAGCTTGGAGGAATTTTAGCCCAGTCCTCTGCACAGAACAGCTTCAACTCTGGATGTTGGTGGTTTCCTCACATTAACTGCTGCTTCAGGTCCTTCCACAACATCTGGATTGGATTAAGGTCAGGACTTTGAATTGGCCACTCCAAAACATGAACTTTATTCTTCTTGAACCATTCTTTGGTAGAACGACTTGTGTGCTTATGGTCATTGTCTTGCTGCATGACCCACCTTCTCGAGATTCAGTTCATAGACAGATGTTCTGACATTTTCCTCTATAAATCTCTGATATAATTCAGAATTCATTACTCCATCAATGATCAAGCCGTCCTGGTCCAGAGGCAGCAAAATGGGCCCAAACCACAACACTACCACCACTGTGTTTCACAGATAGGATAAGGTTCTTATGCAGAATACAGAGTTTATTTCTCCAAACACAACACTTTTCATTTAAACAAAAAAGTTCTATTTTGTCTCATCCGTCCACAAACATTCTTCCAACAGTTTTCTGGCTTGTCCACGTGATCTTTATCAAACTGCAGACCAGAAGCAATGTTCTCTTTGGAGACCAATGGCTTCCTCCTTCAACCCTGCCATGACACCATTGTTGTTCAGAGTTCTGATGGTGGACTCATGAACATTAACATTAGTCAATGTGAGAGAGGCCTTCAGTTGTTAGAAGTTACCTTGGAGGTCCTTTGTGACCTCGGCCACCATTACACACCTTGGTCTTTGTTGGTTGACCACTCCTGAGGAGGGTAACAATGGTCTTGAATCTCCTTCATTTGTACACAATCTGACTGTGGATTGGAGGAGTCCAAACACTTTAGAGATGTTTTGTAACATTTTCCAGCCTGATGAGTGTCAACAACTCTTTTTCTGAGCTCCTCAGAAATCTGCTTTGTTCCTGCCAGGATCCACTTCCACAAATATGTTGTAAAGAGCAGACTTTGATAGATCCTGTTCTTTAAATCAAACAGGGTGTCCACTCACACCTGATCACCACCACATTGATTGAAAACACCTGACTCTAATTTCACCTTCAAACTAACTGCTAATTCTAGAGGTTCACATAGTTTAAAAACTCACAAATATGTAATATTGGATCATTTTCCTCAATAAATAAATGATCAAGTATAATAATATTGTCCCATTTAGTTAACTGGGTTCTCTTTATTTTCTATAGGGTTTAGGTCTGGAGACTGGCTAGGCCACTCCAGAACCTTGATATGCTTCTTACAGAGCCACTCCTTGGTTATTGTGGCTGTGTGCTTCAGGTCATTGTCATTTTGGAAGACCCAGCCACGACCCATCTTCAATGCTCTAACTGAGGGAAGGAGGTTGTTCTCCAAAATCTCACAATACATGGCCCCGGTCATCCTCTTCTTAATACAGTGCAGTCGTCCTGTCCCATGTGCAGAAAAACACCCCCAAAGCATGATGCTTCCACCCCCATGCTTCACAGTAGGGATGGTGTTTTTGGGATGGTACTCATCTTTCTTGGTCCTCCAAACACAGCGAGTGGAATTAAGACCAAAAAGTTCTATTTTGTATTTATATTTTGTTTCTATTTCTATTATCTGACCACACAACTTTCTCCCATGATTCCTCTGGATCATCCAAATGGTCATGGGCAAACTTAAGACGGGCCTGGACGTGTGCTGATTTAAGCAGGGGAACCTTCCGTGCCAAGCATGATTTTAAACTATGACGTCTTAGTGTATTACTCATAGTAACCTTGGAAACAGTGGTGCCAGCTCTCTTCAGGTCATTGACCAGCTCCTCCCGTGTAGTTCTGGGCTGATTCCTCACCTTTCTTAGGATCATTGATACGCCACGAGGTGAGATCTTGCATGGAGCCCCAGTCCGAGGGAGATGGACAGTCATGTTTAGCTTCTTTCATTTTCTAATAATTGCTCCAATAGTTGATCTTTTTTCACCAAGCTGCTTGGCAATTGCCTCCTAGTCCTTTCCAGCCTTGTGGAGGTCTACAATTTTGTCTCTGGTGTCTTTGGACAGCTCTTTGGTCTGAGCCATGTTAGTAGTTGGAGTCTTACTGATTGTGTTGGGTGGACAGGTGTCTTTATGCAGCTAACAACCTCAAACAGGTGCTTCTAATTTAGAATAATAAGTGGAGTGGAGGTGAACTTTTTAGAGGCGGACTAACAGGTCTTTGAGGGCCAGAATTATTGCTGATTGGCAGCTGTTCAAATACTTATATGCAGCAGTAACACACAAATAAATAATAAAAAAAAAAAATCATACATTGCGATTTCTGGATTTTTTAATTTTTTTTTTAGATTATGTCTCTCACAGTGGACATGCACCCAAGATGAAAATTTCAGACCCTTCCATGATTTCTAAGTGGGAGAACTTGCAAAGTCGCTGGATGTTCAAATACTTATTTTCCTCACTGTATATATAGTGGCAGCCATCTTGGATTTTGACGTAGCAACTCTATTTTCGCTAAGTGACGTCTTTTACACATACATGTAGCCACAAACCAAAATGGAAGTTGGCACCTCACTTATTTTTCCAAGTTATTATACTCAAAATGTACAGACAGACAGAGGGGACTTCCAACTCCTCTGGGCTCCATGTGGGGGACAAAAATTAATTCCCATCATTAACAGTCACAGCCAACAGTTAGGACACTTTTGAGTTATAATTACAAGCTTTAACTTTGGCTCTCCTGAGCCGATCTCAACTTTTGAACCTAATCCAGACATCTCTCGCTGAATGATATTAGAGCACGATGTGTTGTTGATCTTGAGTCAATGGTTTTAGGTCAGCTGTGCTGTAATGTGGTTGCAGTAAAACATGATGTAACGACATGTCAGCGGTGTGGAAGAGTTTTAAAACAGGAATACAGAACAGCAGTGCCTGCTTACACCAATGTTTAATTTGTGTATTTCCCAAGGCAGTAGTGACGGAGCTACAGTCTATAAGAGTAATTTATTCTAACTTTAATAATAATAATAATAATGTCATCACAATGTCAGCACTGTATGTTTCCATACAATGGCGAAATTAGTCTCTGCATTTAACCCATCCACCACCAGGTGGTGCAGTGGGCAGCTATTGAAAGCGCCCGGGGGACATTTTGGGGATTAGACGTGCTGCCCAGAGACGCCACGTGATGTGCAGTGACTGGGGATCGAACCTGGGACTCTCGGGTCCCAAGCCGGCTGCCCTGCCTAAATCTAAATACTAGGCTAAACACACCGTTTCACCTCTTAAAGCTAACATTGTTAGGTAGCAAACTGTAGAAAAAGATAAGAGACAAGTTTCTTCAGGACAGAGATAAGGCACAAAGGATTACACAACAGCCGAGTTTATCCCTCACTACTGTTCAGCACATCACACACACACTGACACATGGCTGCTTAGAAAAAGTTCAACACCTGCACATTTTTTTAAAAACAACAACCTGAGGAACACATTTTCTTTATCACAATTAAGAGCTACAGAGATGTCAAGCACATGATGGTATTAGGTTTAATATATTTATTGTGCCAATGGTCTGAAATCTGTAACAACAATGAAAATGCAGATTGAGCCTTCCCATCCACTGACCCTTAATCTTAAATGGATTGTATTTATATATCACCTTTCTATTTTATCAAGATACTCAAAGTGCTTTACACTACAATCTGTGCCCTCATTTACCCATTCATACAGCACTCTACTAGAATAATCAGAGCTTTATCACGTTCACACACCAATGGGACACACAATGGAGGCAATGAGGGGTTCAGTGTCTTGCCCAGGGACACTTCGGCATGTGACTGCTGGTGGATTCGAACCCCCAAACTCTTGCATTGGAGGATGACTGCTCTAACCAGTCAGCCCCAAATGACTCAATTCAATATCTGGGACCAAAACAACTTCATTGTGACACCTCTAAGCTCGTAACAGAAACCACAGTCCTGCCTGTGTGAAAATAAACACGAAGCTGCAGTGAACAGCTTGAAACATCTGAAGATAAACTCTGCCTCTCAGAGCGTTTAAAGCTCGTTCGTCTGATTTATTAAATCTGTTCAGCGCCTCACGGATCAGAACAGTTCCATCAGTCCTCAGGAAGACTGTCCAGTCCAGGTCTGAGGGAGAGTGGCTGCCAGTGTGCCACACACACACACACACTGGAGCATATGTAGACAGTGTATGACCTGAGGGTCAAAAGTGGCCCATGGACAATCTCCATCTAGTCCCCAATATCTTTAATTGAAAAGAAAATAACTTTTTAAAAGTTGATGAAATCCTGCATTTTATCAATGAAACTTAAGGGAGCTTAAATAAAACTCTTTCGATCCGCTGGCCCGGGTCGTGCATCAGGAATGGTACGCCATCATCGCTAATGATCAGAAGAGTTAGAAGACGTGAACATTTAAATAAACTCTAACATTTTACAAACAGGAGAGTTTCTCCTGTTTAAATAACTATTGGTGTTTTAAAATTCATATCAGCAAAAGGTTGTTATAGTTAGAAATAAGACATCTAAAACTTCTAAAAATGACTTTCAATATAAGCAAAAAAGGATAAATTGCTGCTTGGTTTCAATATTTAACAAACTTCCTCCTGTAAGTTCTCGTTGGCACATACAACTGAAGAAACAGGACTTCTTGTAAATGAATATTTACACATTCTCTACAGTTTTAAGTCTGTTTGCAAAAGATTTTTAGGAAAGTTGGAAAACAATGACCATGTTTTGCTTTTCTGGGACACCTTGTTTGAGTCGTAGAATCTCAAATATCTTGTGTTTAGGTTTAATTGGTTAAACAATGTGTAGTTTAGATCATATGTGTCAAACTCAAGGCCCAGGGGCCAAATGTGGCCCTCGTTGAATCTTATCTGGCCCCCAAGATGATATGTTGAACATAAAATACTTCTATCTCTTGAATTTTTTCAGTCATCTTTGATTATGATGTTGAAAGCACAACAGAGAACGTCAGAGGAGACCAGTCAAACTCTTGTTGAGGAACCTGTGACCAAAAAAAGATGTTGGGTATCTGATTTGAGTTCATGTAGTTTCTGGAATTGGCCCTTAGTTTGAAAAAGGTTTTAATGTTGGCCCACTTTTGTAAGAGAGTTTGACACCCCTGGTTTAGATGAAACTTTTATAAAACATGAGATTTTGTTGTTTAATTAATATTGACATAGATCAAAGACTGGGTAATACATTATGTTTTCTAAGTTATGCCCAACAGTTCTCTATTGTGGAAGACATTTCGATGTCACTAATAAATTGTTTGGAGACTTTAACGAACATTTAGATTTATTCTAATTATTTAATGATTTGTTAAAATGTTGGGCTAAAATACATTTACTCCATGTTTCCAGGACAGCCTTCACTTTAGCTTGGATGATAATGTTTATGAGTTTCAGGGAAATCTCCCTGCAAACACAAGGTGTCATGCTGCTCAGCGCCTGCACTAACACTGCATTTAGGTTCTGTTAAGTTCGGTTTGCAATGAGCATGAAAACCACATGAAACTAAACGATTTGTATTTTTGGACATACTAAATATAACATTTCTGTGTCTTCTGTGTGTGCGCTGCCTGGCAGACAGCATCATTGTGTAAAAATAACTTAAATTTGTGCTGCATAAACAAACCTACTTGTTTTTTCTGCTCTGGCGACTTGTCCGGCCACAATCCAGGACAGCGCTGTGACAGCAGCGAGGGCCCCCAGGTGCAGGAATGGACCTGTCGCCTGAACAGAAACACTGTTATAGACTTGTGGAGACAAAAGAAAAAACATAAAGTTTTGATCCAGACAAGAGAAAGTTTACACAGGTACAGAGTAGGGCTGCAACAACGAATCGATAGTCGATAAAAATCGATGATTAAAAGCGTTGGCAACGAATTTCATTATCGATTCGTTGTGTCGCGCGATTATGCGTCTTTCACGGCACTGCAGATTCGTTTCGTTTTGTTCACGAGCAGTTCATTGACAATGCTGACTGACTGAATAAAGTTTGAACAAAAAAAAAAAAACTCCGCAGCGCGAGTTGAACAGAGCGAGGCGGTGTTTTCAAAGGGACATAAGTAAATTTTACAAATGACCAACGCAGAGAAAACTGTTCGACCCAAGTCCTCTAAAGTGTGGGAGAACTTCAAAGATAAAAAATGAGAAACATGCTGCTTTGAAAATCGCCGACACGACACGAGAGAACTGTAGTAGAACATACGCATGATATATATTCATACTGTTAGAACGGATTCTTTCATTTTTCTGGACTGTATAATAACGTGCATCTGAATTTAATAAAATGTGGACGTGAGACGTTAATTATCTTTGACTCACCAACGACAGTGGGTCATTTATTAACAGAATCAAGTTTAACACATCACACATTTACATTAATTGGCAAAAATTGAAAATAACGACAGCTTATTAATCAGTTTACAGGAAGTAAACAATGCAGCGATTGTTCTCACTTCCAGTAGTACAACAGATTATTAACCACACGGCGGTGATTGAAAAACTTTGCTTCGGACATTTCTAAAAATATCTGGATTAATTTCTTAGCAGACAGAAGAGTTTAAAGATTGAAGTTTAGAGGGAGGGAGATGGTGTGTGTGTGTGTGAGTGAAAAGTGTTGGACAGAACGACACCCTCCATTCGACCCAGCTTTCCTCGGTACGCTCGGTAGTCAACTCGACTCATTACCTCTCTGACGATGAATCAGTGAAAGCGGAGCTCCGGTTACGCTACCGGTCCAGCGTCTCCGTAGGATGGCAGAGAACCGTCCGGAGTGGTGACGCGACTTCGTCAACAACAGTTCAGCTCACGGTGGACTCACATGAGTGGAGTCCTTCAGAAGTTCCACTCAGAGGTGGAAGATGTCATAATTCCAAAAGACTCGGAAGAGCTTTTAATCATGGCTGGACTTCTGTTCTCCCAAACGACTGGAGCTGCAAAAACTCTCCACCCGACTCCAACTCGAGGTGGAACCTCTTGCAGAACTCTCCATCTACTCCAACTCGAGCCAGACTCAACTTACTGCAACTTACTGCTGAACCTTGGTTGAACTAGGAAGTGCCAACATTTAAAGAAAGCTCACTTCCGGTTCATTTGAGAACTTTCTGATTGGTCGATTGACCAAAACAGAGGTGTGTTTTGTGATGTAAGGTGTTATGAAAATTCAAGGAAAAAGATTAAGATTGTTTAAGAACAGGCAGAAGATTGTTATGAAGAATTCAGACTTCGTGGAGTCACTTCTCCAGTATCTTGCTGTAAAAGTTAAACATGACATTTCTTTTTCAGTAAACTTGCAGTTGACCGAAACTTGAACTTTGACCAACTTACACACTTGCTCACTGAAGACAGAAAATCAGACAATGCATCATTAACCTGATTTCTTCTTTGAATGAGGATTAAGAATCATTATTACTTTTTCACAGTTAATAAAAATGAGTAGTTCACTTCAACATTTAAACATTGTTTGAACTAACACAATTTGATTATCAAACATTTGTAAAATGGTAATGATAATAGAAAGTAGTCTTCTTTTACTTGATCAATTCAAGAAAGAAAGTCTCAGGATGGGTCAACCTGTATTTCTGGATGCAAATCAATGAAATGACAAGTTCTGTCCCATATGGTCCTTAAGGTCAAGGTTTTGACATCAGGCCTAGTTCACTACAGAACCACGGAGATAAACGTAAACATGTCGGAGTCACGAGGAGGAAGAAGGAGCTGCAGCAGATACATGTTTCACTCCCAACTCGTGTTGCAGGTGAGTCTCTACAATTTAACACTTTGTTCGGTTTCAAGAGAGAAAATGTAACGTCAGTCTGTCTGGTAGATGAAGCTGTTTGTTTGTTTGTTTTCTGATTAATGACGTGAGAGAACGTGTGTTAGTTTTTATTTAATTTAATTGGTACACGCAGTGTTTAAATGTGATTTATAAATAAATCTAACACAAAGATAATAATTTAATGATTAAGCTTCAACTTTTAATTTGCTGGCAAAGTCTGAAGACAATGCAGGTATGGCAGGATGAATTGCATTTAAACAGGAATTAAAGTAATTTATTACATCTACTCAAATGTGTGTAATTAAGTATTTTATATGTGTGTGTGTGTGTGCGTGTTTAATTCCTCTTTGAGCTACTTTTGCCTGAACCTAACACTAAGTGAAACAAGGAATGTCTTGAGTTGCTGTAAATTATGCTATAATAATTATAATGAATAATGTAACACCACCACCTGCACATTCATCCGTTAGCCCACTACTGTACAAACTGTACACATAATCTACTATCTCCTGTTCATAAGTACTCATAGTATATAATATATATATATATATTTATATAGCTGTTTATACCCCTTCATATTATAACCTGTTCATAGTCTGTACACTCACAACCTGTATATATTTATACCTATAGCATATTCAAAGCAACTTACTGTATATTGTACTATATATATCTACCAATTTATTTTTCTTGCTAAGCACTTCTGGATAGATGCAAACTGCATTTCGTTGCTTTGTACCTGTGACATGTGCAATGACAATAAAGTTGAATTCTATTCTATAATACATATTTACTGTCTCATTCCAGAAAACAACAACAAACAACAACATCCTTCATGATGGACAGACATCATGGACACCACAGCAGCAGCTGTCTTCACTGAAAGATCCTTAAATGATCGTCACTAACACAAGGCCTCTGTCGATGGTTGAAGATGAAGGCTTCACTACAATAATCCACACTTTTAATCCAGGTTACACTCTTCCCTGAAGGACACATTTTACAAAGTAGCTACATATTGTGCAGGTATAAAGCATACATTCGTATATATTTTTGTGCACATTTATTTTTGTAAGCTATTTGACTAACTTTTATATTATTTATTCAATATTTTACCAACAGAATAGTCAAATAGCAACCTGTTGTTTGTGTAAATTGCTATGTCAGTCAAATGTTAAATTTTGGAATAAAGGGGTGGAAATTAAAACGTGTTTTTTTTTTCCTTCGAATTATCGATTAATCGAAAAAAATAATCGGCCGATGAACCGATTATTGACATAATCGTTAGTTGCAGCCCTAGTACAGAGACTATACCAGGCACGGGCAAACCCCGGCCTGCGGGCCATATACGGCCAATTGGGCTTTTTAATTGGCCCGCCGAAATTGTCCAAAATTTGGACAAAAATAAATAAATAAACAAATATATATATATATATATATATATATATATATATATATCTGTTTGTAAGTTTTGTTTTTGACGTGCTGCACGTTTCTGCACGTTTGCAGCTTAATAATAAAAACTAAGTTTAGTTTTTCCTGTGACTTATTTGCTGTATGATAAATGGTGGGAGCATAATATATGCTCCTAATGTTTTGTTGGTCTTTTTTTTTTTGTAAATAATGACCTTTTTTGCAGTTTTATTTATTTATTTATTTTTGTATCTTTAGATCCTATGATGTCATCAAGTACTCGAGTTCTACTCGAGTTTTATTATGTTAATGTCGAGTTTAAAAATTATGTAGTCGTTCAACCCCTAGTTCTAACATATAATCTGAATTAGTGGCTGCTTGAGTGGTGCAGAAGGTGGAATTGCCCATAATTAATAGCGTCCCGGCGGCTGTTATTGCGCTGGGGTGTAACATCACACAAACACTCCATCCATCTGTTCCTGGCCCAGCCCTTCGCTCCAATTTTAGAACTCGGTGTGGCCCGCGAGTCCGAAAGTTTGCCCACCCCAGGACTATACCATAACACATCTGCTTTTCCATGTGTGAATAAAAGCTGAATAAGAAAGACAGAAAGACAGCGTCATAGAAACACCATCTTTATCTGGTCCTTAGGCAGTTACAACAATATACCGAGATAATCTGTGCAATGTGAAGAGAGAGGAACTGTCTCCTCTCACAGTCCTGGCAGTGCAACAATCTCATGGATGTAATATGAACAGGTCTGTAATAAAAACTCATAGATGAGGTTGTTGATCGTCATTAGATCAATGCAGACAGAGACATGTCAGCACAGTAAAACTGAAATGTCTCATTTTACAACCTTAAATAAAGAAAATGCACCATAAAGCCATAAAAGTTCACCATCAGAAGTCATCTTTGTTGGGTTTGTTGCATTTATTGTGCTTGTTGTGTTTGTCATGTTTCAGAATCAGAATGTTTCATCATCATTGTACCAAGATACAACGAGAATATGTCCATGCAGTCATCTGAAAGATGAGCCGAGCGCACATAGCTGCTGCTCTTTAAGAGTGCAGCCTCTTATCCTTTTCAGAATACATTTTTTAATATAGAAAAAGGGACAAAGTCATGAGGAGAGGATAGTGGCATTACAAGAAAGATCTCTTCACACCTTGTCCTAACAGAACGTGATTTAAGACATCAAAAAACTCTGCCAGCAGCACATTTATGAACACGTTACATGTGCATTTGACGACAAGGTGGTCCATGAAGCACTAACAGATCCATTGTTCTGATAAGATGATGGTCAGCCAGCACAGTTCTGATAAGCCTCAACAGAAGTTCGGGGTGGGGGTGGGGGGTTGCGATAGATTAAGCTTTTTTGTTGTTTACACATTTCCCAGGAGAAAGTGATAAGTCGGCCTGTTTTCGAGGCCAACAAGGGAAGTCAGATTCAGATAAGCCACAATTGTTGATTTATTCAGGCAGACTATTTTTCTTGTCATCCTTGAGTCTTACTGACACTTTCAAGATCCGAAATGGCCAGATTAGGGTGCATTCTACTGTTCTGTGATTATGAGCCTCTCCAAGGTCATTTCATGCTGGCGAGTCCCAAAGCTGCAGGTGGCCTGCGATTCAAATCACTTCCATCTTACGGTTTAGCTCGTAAATCAGCTGATTTTGAGTCCTCAAAGCACGAAAAAAACCTTCAAATAGGCAGCAGCATTTATAGTGCTTTGCTGCATTTATAGTGCTTTGCTGCATTTATTGTGCTTTGCTGCATTTATTGTGCTTTGCTGCAT